CTAGGTATGTGTGTGTGTGTGTGTGTGTGTGTGTGTCTCTCTCAGGTGGCATCTTGATCTTAATCACGAGCACCAAACAATGGGTGGCCCGAGTTGCAGGCCCCCTGTGTGTGATGCTAATAAGTATGCTAAACTGGCCAGGTGGTCATCTCAGGTTGTGTGCCCCCTGGCTCTGCAGGACACCCCAAGACAAAGCAGAACTTGGGATATGCTAAATGGGTCAAGGCATGAGTGTAAAACAGGCCAACATATCTTTGTTAAAATGTAAATAAGCTGTCTGGTCACCAGGAGATGCAGCCATCCAGTCTCAACAGAAGTTACAGAAAGTAAGCCGATTCTGCTTCATTACAATTGTAAGATATGTAAGCAAGGAAAATAAATGTATTAAAAATAACCAAAGCTCAGTAGTTCTGGACAATCATCAACACAGCTGTAATATGTATAAACAAGGAAAATAAAGGTATGAAAAGTAACTAAAGGGAACTAAAGGTATGAGAAGTAACTAAAGCTTATAAAGTAACTAGAGCCTATAAGAATCAAATTTTACACTACATTTTAGACAAAATTAAATGAATAAAATTCTTCCCGATGTCTGTTCAGGTTTCTGTCTCACCTGCACAGCCTGTCGACCCTGCTGCGCATCTGCCAGCAGCTGGATGGTGATGGCTCTGCAGTCCTGAACGGCGTCTTGCAGGTAAACAAATGTGTGGCCCATATGATGGCTCATGCTGCACTCCCTGCATATAGGCACTGAACAGGTTTCACAGAAGAAGAGAAACATCTGGGAAAAGGAAAGATGGAAAAATTTTGTTTTTACAATTAGTTAGTACAAACTGAAACTGCACAACAAACAAAACCTAACCTATGGAGCAAGATGGTGGAGCACACTCTCGCGGCGGCTCAGTGCTCCTTCAGTCAGTGTTTTGTTTGGTTGTTTGTGTATGTGTTGTTTTCCATATTGTGTACATTTTGCTGGGCGAAAAACACCTACAGTCGGCATGATCTCCTGAAGATAGGAGCTTGCTATGAGCAGTTTGAGTTTCTCCACTCGCACAGGATACCAATGGACATTGCAAAGAGCCCCAGTTCTCCGTGGATTACCATCCCCACGGCAAGGACGCAAAGGCGCCGCAGGAAGGAGAGGAAGCAGAAGTGAGGCTGCACGGCCAGAGCGTTAGCTAGGCTACAGAGGCAGCCACATAGACCACCACTTCCCAGCCTTTTTCTGACAAGTCCCAGAGCACTCGTTAATAAGATGGATGATTTGAAGCTGCAGGTTGCGACCAATTACATGATGAAGGACAGTTGCATTCTGCTGATCACAGAGACCTGGCTTCATCTACACATACCAGACTCTGCTAGCTAGTTAGCAGGCTACACAGTACAACGCCATGATAGGACAAGGGACTTTGTTAAGAGCAGGGGGGGGGTATGTATTTACATCAATAACTGGTGCACGAACACAATGACTGCAGACAGTCACTGCTCCCCAGACTGAGTATTTGACTGTCAAATGCAGGCCCATGTACCTCGCAAGAGAGCACAATGTGGTCTTCATAACAAATGCGTATATACCGCCAGATGCTAATGCTAACTCGGCTATCAGACATTTATATGGCAGTATTAGCAGTCAGCCGAGCAGATATCCTGGTGCTGTACACATCCTACCTAGCAGGGGACTTCAATCATGCAGATTTAAAGAAAGTACTCCCCAAATTTGACCAACATGTAAAGTGTGCTACCAGATGAGCTAACACACTGGACAAGGTTTATTCAAATATCAAGCTAGGCTATAGAGTCAGACCACTACCACACCTGGGCCAGTCTGACCACTTGTCCCTGTTTCTAATTCCTGCATATGCCTCCCTCAGAAAAACTGCTACTACCATCACAAGGACTGTAAAAACTTGGCCTGGTGGTGCCTCTCAGCAGCTACAGGACTGTTTTGATAGGACCAACTGGGATCCAGACCTGGAGGTGTTCACAGACAGTGTCCTCCATCCATCCATCCATCCATTTTCTTCCGCTTATCCGGGACCGGGTTGCGGGGGCAGCAGTCTAAGCAAAGATGCCCAGACCT